AAAATCTTAAGGTATGACAAGTATATTGCTACATGCATATTTTCCATGAGTTTGCAGTGTTACCCATCTTTGGTGTTTTAGCCAATAAAATATACTCTCAGGCTTGGAAAATTCCACTCATACAATTTTATTTGGGACTAATAGAGAAATCAATTTAAATTTCCAATGGATGAGTGCTCATTCTACTCACTTATACCAAGGCAGGAAGAGTCTCTATGAGTCAGTCTCTGCACTCATTTTCAGAGATGCAAAATAAACAAAATCAGTGAGTGGAAGAAAGTTCAGAACTTAACTCCATCAGCCACAAAAGCAAAAGCAGTGCTGCCAAGATCATACAGAGACAAGATAACTGTCATTCTGTCTTTTATTATTTGACAGGACAAGAAGCAATGGGCACAAAATGAAACACAGGAGGTGTCATCTGAGCACAAGGAAACACTTTTTCACTACAAGGGTGACCGAGCACTGCCACAGGTAGTCCAAGGAGGCTGTGGAGTCTGCATCCCTAGAGACTTCCAAAAGCCACCTACACAAAGCACTGGCAGCCTGCTCTAGATGACTCTACAACATGATGTCCAAGGATCCCTTCCAATCTTAACCATTCAGTGATGGCAAGACAACTTGCAGTCGAAGTATTTTCAGCATACCTCTGGAACAAGGTACTAGATTAGTGTTACTTGTATTTTCTATAAGGGGCTAGAGGAAACACAATTACCACTTATACTTCTGGATCACATTACTACTTGTATCAACAGAGAGGTGGCCTTGAAATGGGATTTACGTAGAGAAAGGCAGAGTCTTCAAGCCTCTTGGGAAGAGGATAGCAAGATCTAGGTGCTGCTATGCACTCCTAGGCGCATCAGTGCATTTCTACTTATAAAACAGGGTCAAACACAAAACCTGTCTTACTGTAACCACTTGGATATTTCAGACATCCTTCAAACTTCATATAAGTTTGAAACATCATTTTTTGATTCCTTCCACATTTGAGTCATCTCACCGCTTCCTCAGCCATGAAAATATAAATTTTTAAAGGGGAAAGTGAGCAAGAGCATGCGTTACATAAAGGCAAAAGCAGTGCACCATGCACACAAAACACCACACCCTAGCTTGGAAACAGGCAGCTGCTGTGAAGCTGAATCCCCCAGAGGATGGCAAGGAGCAGGGATAACTGAGGTCTCACAAAACATCCTGCTCCTTTCGAGATTTTCTGGAAAAAATCTGCCTTAAATTTGAGTTTCCAACTGCCACAAAAAGAGTACATGGTACAGCTCTAACACAGTCCCTCTGCTCCCTGAGCTCACACTTCCCCTATTACTGCCTCCTAGCAGGAAGCAAAACAGCCTTCCTCATCCCCACACTCCTTCCTCCCGTAAATCACATGGATCCCCTCTCCTCCCCGACCCGCGGGGCTGCCTGGGGACGGCAGGCCGGGTGCTTCGGAGCGGCCGGCTGGCAGGGGCACGGCGCCTCTGGAACGGGAAGTGGCGGTGGGGGAAGGGAAAGCCCTTCCGCGTCTCTCCCGTCCCTCCTGCCTCTCCCCGCCGTCCCTGCGCCCCGCACGCCGGGCGGGGGCGGCCGTGGGGAGCGGCAGAGCGGCCGCCGCCCCCGCCGGGCCCCGGGCGCCGCCGGACCCGCACCGTACAAGGCACGGCGGGAGATGCGGCCGGGCCGGGCCGGCCCTGCCCCGGCCTCAACGCCGACCTCCGCCCGCCCCCGCTGCGGCCCGGCCCGGCTGCGCGGCCACGCTGAAACGGGAGCCCCGCCGGCTCGGAGGGACGGAGGACAGGAGGGCGCTGCGGCTCGGCACAACCCATCCATCCATCCCTACCTTCTCCTCGTCGGACAGCTGCTCCTCCAGGTCCGCCATCTTCCCGTCCGGCTGCGCCCGCCCCCTCCCGCTCCTCCTTCCCGGCAGGAAGGGCGGGACCCGCGCGCGCTCCCTGCGGAGGCGGCGCCTCGAGCGCGCGCGCCCGGCGGGCGGGGATCCCGGGGCGGTGAAGCTTCTTGGGAATGGGATAATGGGAAAGGGGGGATCCCGGGGCGGAGGAGGCGTTGGGAATGGGAAATGAGAAATGGGGGATCCCGGGACGGAGGGGGCGCTGGGAATGGGAAATGGGGGATTCCTGGAAGGGTTGGAACAGCAACTGAAGCTGTGGGCAGCCAGAAGTAAAACTCACAAAGTCAAATAGGTTGGAGGAGATTCTGAGGTCATCGGGTCCAAGCTGTGCTGAACACCACCTGTTCAATAGACCATGGCATCAGTGCCACATCCAGTTTCTTCTTAAACAGCTCCAGGGACGGTACCCTCCCCCCACCCGGGCAGCCCATTTCCAGATCTAATCGCTCTCTCAGTGAAGAAATTCATCCCAACATCCTAAATAAACCTCCCCTGGCACCGCTGAGGGCTATGTCCTCTTGTGAGACCAGTCCCCAGGCAGGAGGAGAATGTCCAGGTTTCAGCCCCCTCATAGCAGGGGCTCAGCGGGTGCCGGTGCTGGGGCCCGGCACCCCACAGGTGCTGGGGGAGCTGTGGGAAGCTCAGTCTAATAACAGTGACAGAAGTGTGTGAAGTGATTTGTGACGTGGAAGACTGGACGTGGAATGGCATCAGTGGGAGAGAAATAAGTAGATTAAAAGTTTTTTACCTCCAGACGAAGAAATTGTGAAGATTGTCATCCAGCAATGTAGCATTACAGCTACGTGGGGATTTGGGATGATGATTTGCAAGAATTGCCTCTGGTTAGTGGCTACTCTTTGGTAACATTTTAAAATACAATTTCTTAATGTCCAGCACAGTGTACTGCATCTCAGTTATGATGAACAAGGAAAAGCTGATCGTGGATGGGAAAATCACAGGTGCTGAGATACACCTACATCAGTTGTGGTTAGTGGTGTGAATGTAGCCAGCTTCAAGCCAAAGGACCTTGTTATGCTGTGGAGTTCATCCACATCTGTCTTCTTGCATGAGTATTTCTGCACAAATGCTGCCAACATGCAGTAGAGCAAAATATGTCTGTATCTGTAGAATTTTTTAGGGCTGTTACTCTAGAAGCTGTAAGAGGACTGCCACATGAACGTGAAGGAAAGTGGAATTGGACAAAAAGTGGTTCAAGCCAAATGTGGGTATTCTAATGGCACAAAGAAAGTCAGTATATAATGAAAACATGTAAATGAAAATAAGTGAAAATAATTAATGTATAGGTTGGACAACATGGCTGGTTCAGGACAGTTGAAGAAATATTTAAAATACCTGAAGCCATGGAGTATAAAGGACAGTAGTGTATTTATGTGAGGAGCTAGATAAATGACAACCAAAGCTAATGTTTGACAAGACCGTTGCTAGATTTAGAGTGAAGTATAGAACAGAAAATGTGTATCTAAGGGATATCTGGGTTTTGAATATTTTGCATATATTATAGATTTTATATCTCAATAATAAAAGGTAATGGTCTGTAGCAGGGAACAGCATTGTGCAGCATTCAGTGTCATGCAACAGTACTTTATAATTTCCACCCAAGAGTCTTAATAGAGACTGCCTGATGTCTGTGAAATGCTTCTGTTAATTTTTAACACACCTTGGGATTTGCCAGCTGGGGGACATTGCCATATATTGCCATGGGTGTTGCTTTATTTAATATCTGTCAGGAAGATAGTTCAAAAAGGTAGATGTTCTCAGATAAATGTGAACAATTTTCTTGTAAGTTAATATAGCTGTCTGTTGGATGCACCATGTTTACACCAGATTTTTCTTGGAAGTTTGCTGAAACTAACATGATGAAGTGAATGATTCAGAGGAGGATGGTGTAGTCATCACAGAAACTGATGAGAATCTTCTTAATAGTACCCTCACAGGTACTGTACTGTGACCTTAGGACTCAATGGGAAATGAATAATCATGAAGAAATCATGTGACTTTGTGGCTTTGTATTTTGTGACTAAAGTATTTTGGACTGTTTCTGTGTCTTCTCAGGAAGAATACAGAAATTTCAGAGGAATTTTGAAGGAGGACTGAAAATAATCCTGGAGATGCAGAAAACATTTCAGGATATGAGGCATAAGGATGTCAAGATTGAGAAGTGATTTTGGATATTGCAGTGATGCATAAGTTAGTTTGGAATTTAAACACATCTTCTATGAAGTCATATATCTCTGCTTGCTGTTTTAAATTGAACACAGCCAGTTTCCAACCAGTAAATCTCATATACAAAATTCATATTGTTTCATGTGTCATTGTCTCTGCACATTGATCAAAGGCTGATTTGCACTACAATCACATACAGAACAGCAAAATATCCTGCTGCTTACTAGCTAGCTCATGTCTAAGCAGCTATCTAGTCCCACTTTGTGAAGCTCACCATGGGCTAGCAGATCTGTCTGATGAGCAGCATGTGTTTAAGTGATGTAGTGGGAGAAAAATTAATTAATTCTAGAAAGAACCCACCCACTCCCCAAATAACAGCTATTGAGTTCTACTTAATCTGATCAGACATAGTAGAGCTACCAGCCAAGTACCTTGCTATTTTGCTTAACTGCTTCTGTAATTTTTTTCTGTATTGACTCTGTAGAGCCAGACCCATGGCCCTTGAGTTGCATTGGGAGGGAGAGCACAGAGCTCCTCACTGCAAGGTCTCCCTGCAGGGCTACCAGTGTGGCTTGAGAGAAGTGCAGGTTCTGTGCTAAAGCCATCCTGAAGATTAGCAATGAGGTGATAGTGGTTAACACAGCACACCTCTGTCCTTCTGCACTGGCCCCAAACATTGGGATAAACAATGCATAAAAAATAAATTACGCTTCCATTCTTCTTCATCTAGGTAAGTGATTGACATTTAATCTATTGCATCTGCTCAAAGGACAATTTCATGAGAGGTGTATTTGGGGCCTACTTGTTTAAACTGGAGGATGTACTACATTCTGTAGATTTTCTGTAATGAAAGAAGTTTCATAAGAAGCCACTAATCTTCTTTGCTTGACTACTTCCTTTTACATTTCAGCAGGAAATCAGGATTCTTTCTTCAGAGAATTTTGGATTAAGCCCTTTTGCAAATCTGCAAGTCTTATCAAACAATATATTCAAGGACAGGTAAAGAAAAGAAGTTGGCTACTATAGACAACATTTTAATAGCTAACACTGTGGCTTGTAAAAAGCTAACATACTAAGACAGCAGAGATGACTAACACATTTGGAGAAACCTACAATCAGATCCCCTATGTCTGAAGGATACAGGCTACAGAATCAGTGGAATGGTTAAATAAATCATCTGTAAAAAAATTTAATTGAGTATTTAAAATTGAATTATTGGGGAGTATTTTTTATATAATTAGCTGATAAACACCTGAGTCTCAGCTCATGACCCTCAGCTTCCATCAGCAGGGAGAAATAAGCATTCCAAAGGTGAGATTCATCTGACCTAGTTAAGACTATTGTCTATTGACTATTGGAGATTATTGTCTATATGAGTTCAGACCCAGCTGTCTAAATACTGGGTACCTGTATCATGACAGCCAAATCCCTTCTACTGTTAGAAGAGCAAAAGGAAAGAAGGTGATGGACCAGTGAAGAGGTATGAAGGCTAAGGGAAGAGCACAAGGGGTGGCTGAAGTTAAAAAGCTAAGGGAAGGAGCGAGGACCATACTTGTAGTTCAGCGCTGCTCTGTGCTCCCTAGGGAAGCTGAACTCAGAGTGGTAAATCACATATTTATGCACAAAGGACTTTGTACCAAGAGGGCTGTAGTTCTGTACAGCCTTTATTGCAGCTCCTACTCAGACATCCGCAATGTTGTGTCAGTAGCTATTGATAATCTGGAGATAGAGCAGAATTAGGATTGACAAAGGAAGAGGACAGGATGGGGATTCGCAAACAGACCAGAAGCAAAGTGTAAGGGTTCTGCACCCCATAAAGAGGGCCCTTAAATTAACAGTGTGCCTTACAGAAAGTCCAAAACTTCTCCACGCTCAACCAGTCTCGCTCTCTTTGATGTACCTGTTTGTTTGCCTTTGCTCTGTACCAGGATAGATTGAGAAAGCAGCAGGAGAAAGCAAAACTGAGGAGAGCAAAGGAGCTTGGAGCACTGCTTACCCCAGCTGTCAAATTGTTACAGGAATAGAACAGTAGCTCACAGGATCTGAGCAGCCACCTGATTTTGAAAAGCTCCATGAGAAAACATAAAAATTCCTTTCCTTCCCTCTTACTGGACCTTGCTTATATTTTTAGTTATTCCTTTAAAAAAAAAAAAAAAAAAAAAAAAAAAAAAAAAAAAAGTCTTCTAGCTGGATTTATTTAGTTTCATTCTAAAGGAGACATTGTTTGGCAATTTTATTTTTCAACAGGAAATGGTAAATGTGCTGATTTGTTTAATGGAGTTGAGATTCACTGTAGGAGTCCAAATTCCTTTTTTGTTTTATTCTCTGTAGAACTGAATGCCTTATGTAGATAAAATCTCAATAAAGATAAACCATTCAAGCAGATGTGAGTAAAGAGCTGAGAATTTCTGGGCTAGTGTAGAGAAAAATGCCTCACAGAATCAGTGGTACATCATGCTGCTTAACAGTGGTGTGGGGCCTTAATTTTTGATCTTGTGAATATGTTGGAAGAAATAGTAGGAAGAAAAAGGTTGGATTTTGAAATAAAATAATTTTATTTTTTGAATGTTGGACATCTGAATGATAAACAGCATAAGCACTTGAGCACACTTGCTTCTGACCTCAATAAAAGTCCTGAATGCTAAATACTTGTGAAAGTCAGGAGAGCATCCAAATGTTCATGTGGGAACATTATTTGTGTTATCTACTTTTGAAACAGTTGTCATGTTGTGTCTTGATAAAATCACACTGATCTATTAAAACATGTTTCTTTTGTTTGTGTTGTTTATTTTGTTTGTTGTTTGGGTTTTTGTTGTTTTGTTTTTCCTTTTTTGTTGTTGTTGTTCTGCAGTGTTCTGTTGAATCAAAGACTGTTGAGATAGTGGTGCACTTTGCCTGTAGCAGTCAGGACTCACCTGTGGCCTTAGAGCCCAAGATCTGCTTCCTTGGGAGAACTGTCATTTCTTAACACTGCACTGGAACACAGTGAAATCCCATTAGATGTAAAAGATACTGGAGAATTTATCTTGCCACTTGACTTTAGCAAAAGTAGTCCTCTATATGACTAGTAATTGCATTGTTCTCAATTTTCTGTTGTCATAGAGAATTTGAGACTGCAAGAGAGCCAAGATTTTACCCACATGGATTCTGAAGTTGATGATGACTGTGAATAAGGTCAGGTAAATTAAATGAGCAGGAATCAAGGAAGGTTACAGATAAATCTGCAGTGTGTCTGAGGGAATGCTAAGTTCTATATCACTATACATTGTCCAAAGATAGCATTCAACTTGTTTGACTTAAACTCCCTGCATTTTCTTATTCTGAAGCCTCAATTTTAGACATAATTTGGTTTATTATAATGGTACAGAGGTCTGTTGCAAAGAGCAAGATTAATATCAGAGGCATAACAAAGTTAGTGTGGGAATTATCCATAGTATTATTAATTTAATAAGTTCAAAACAAGCATTCTTATTCAACAAATGCTTGTTTTGAACTCAGCTGTGACCAACTTCATAGACTTCATATTGACAAGCCCTTATTCAATTGTTTAAAAGGAAGAATTTGCACATTTGTACTCCCTCCCCCAAGTATTTCCACTGTTGATTACCTTAATGGGAATGAGTTTTTGATTAGATTAACAATTCTGTTTATTCCTGAGAAGTTTGTAAAAAGAGAAAATACTTTTTGTCGTTGCAGTAAATTGTGTTATAGGGATTGTTCTCCCTCAGCTGTCATGAAGACAATTGACAAGCATCTAATGCAAACCCAGAGAAAATACATCCCACCATAATGTCCTCAACAACCCACCAAGAAGAAATTTTTTGGTTGAGAAGAGCAACTCAGAAAAAAAAGTAACATAAAGATTAAAGGTCTGATTTTACTGGTTTCATTTCCCCAAGCTCAAGAAATGCACAGAGAAATAAATCATTATACTTACTCCAAAAAAAAAGCTGTCTTTTCCCTCTTTGTGGCACTTCAGAAAGTATTTTGTGTGGACTAACTGGGAATGAAAAACCTCAGAACTGTGACTGTATTTTGATAGTAAATAATAACTAAAAATTTTTAATATCTAGATTAACTATTTTGAACCAGAAAATATGCTTTTGATCCTGAAAGGGAAAAAAGTTTTATTCCACATGTCCTTTAACCAGTTTTCCAATTTTTAGAGAATTGCATTTGCACATACCTGTGCCTGTTTTAATTCCTGTTGCTGTGCTATAATGATATTCCTGGCTGATATGGATCAGTATTAGTCTGAGAAAAAAACCTAATGCACATGCTTCCCAAATGGTAAGCTCAGGCTTTTGCAATCTGTGGAAAGTTAGTGCAAATACTGTGCTCCACTTCCTTCCTCACAGTAAGATTTTGAAGTTCTGGTTTTAGTCTCTCATGTCAGATCAGGAAATGCAGCAAAAAAAGAAGTCTCATGTTTCTGTTGGGATGTGTAGGATGAAGTGATGAAGAGCTACAAGCAGAAGTGGGATATCTAGATGTGTAAAGTAACACCATCTAGTGTGATGAAGAGGGTTCTCTAATCTCCCTATTATTTGTTTTTTAAATTTTTGTGGCTCTCAAAAGTAATTTTTAGGGAAAGGGGGAAGAAGAGCAGCAAAGTTCCTTTACAGATGTTTCAGGTGCAACACAGGACAAGACAGAGTTTTCTTGGAATTTAATGGTAGCAGAAGATGAGAGTTTGATAAGCTATGAAAGACCTAGCAGGAAAGATGGTGGAGGTGGTAAGACACAGGTGGACCACTGCCTTCCTTTGCTGCTTGCTGACATGAAGACATGAAGACATGAAGAGCTGTTTCTAAACCTGGCTGAGATCACATACAGAACTGCTGAAACTGAGTCCAGCTTCCTCATACAACTTGTGTCATCACACATGGTACTCTGGCTGCCCCCTTGTGCAGTACATGATGGTTGGAGCTGTATGTGTTAATTTCTGGTGGTTCTAGCTCTTCATTGCCACTTGTTTCTGGGTTTGGCTTTTCATTCCTTTTAGTCATAGTCTTTGCTCTGAGCCACATCAGACTGCTGATTGCACCATTGCTTGCTGTCTCATCTGCTGGGGATTCCCCTGGGAGCCAGGGAAGAAAAAGAACACCTAAGAAAGGAGTAGGAAAATGGGAAGGTGAGGAGAAAAGGGAAGAAGATCTCATGTCATTTTTTTTCTTACAGCACATTGCCCTTCAGAGTTTCCATGCAATACAGCCTGTCTCTTGTTGGGGGCTGTGTTCCAGGGAAGGATTTTTCAAATGGTCTGTTAATAAATCCTGATTGAGTCACAAAAGTCTGTTGCAGCTCACTAAACCTGGCAAAACTGGGGGGTTGTTGTGTTGTGGTGGACAACCTGGGGGGGGCCACATGCTGGTGACCAGCCCTGCTCATGGCAGAGGCTGGGAAGGACAGCGGCGAGGGCCTGATCCTGCCCATGGCACAAGGTGGAGAGGAATGGACTAAAATGGGCCAGGTCCATGTCATACCAAAGGTTTTATGTTTTAACATTTACAGGACTTTCTCTTGGCCAACCAAAACAAAACAAAAGGGAAACCAAAACATATAGTGAAGTGTTTTCAGTGAATGACTGTGGGCTAGTTCCCCTGATGTCAGGGAGAAGCTAATGAATAAAGCTGCAAAGTCTGAAGGATGTGTGCTTGACTTCTGTTCATGCTGCACACATCTGTGTGCCCAATGTCAACTGAGACGTGCCTGACACTATATTTTATGGATTAAAGGTTAGTGATACCAGGCTATAAGTACAAAAAACCCTGGTGAAATATGAGTCCTTAGGGCAGAAGGGAACCTGAGGTAATTGGCATAGAGATTGTAATCTTTCTTTTCCTACTGCAGGATATACAGCCTTAATTTTAGGGTCTCTTTTGTAGTTTAAGGCAATCTATACTAAAAGCTGACAATGAATGTACTTTAATGTAGTGTAGAGGGCCAAGTATGATGCTAGATACAGTGGGAGGACTATATAGGATTTTGGGAAAAGGGAGCCGAATCTGTATTCTGTTTATCTGAAAGGGAGCCCTGGATGTAGGCACAGACTGAGGAAAGAGATGCTGGAAAGCAGTGCTGCAGAAAGGGACCTGGGGGTCCTGGTCTATGGCCAGTCAGTGAGTCAGCAGTGCCCTGGCAGCCAGGAGGGCCAGCCCTGTCCTGGGGTGCATCAGGCACAGCATCAGCAGCCAGGCAAGGGAGGGGATTGTCCTGCCCTGCTCTGCACTCATCTTGAATATTCCGGGCAGTTTTGTGTGCCACATTATAAGAAAGATGCAAAGCTATAAGAGACTGTCCAAAGGAGGGCAACATGGATGGGGAAGGGCCTCGAGGGGAAGCCGTGTGACAAGTGGCTGAGGTCACTTGGTCTGTTCAGCCTGGAGGAGACTGAGGGGAGAGCTCACTGCAGTCACAGCTTCCTCATGAGGGGAAGAGGAGGGGCAGGCACTGATCTCTTTTCTCTTGTGACCAGTGGCAGGGCTTGAAGGAATAGCATGAAACTGATTCAGGGGAGGTTTAAGTTGTATATTCGGAAAAGATTCTTCACCCAGAGGATGGCTGGTCACTGGAACAGGTTCCCCAGGGAAGTGGCCGCAGCAGCACCCTGACAGAGTTCAAGAAGCATTTGGATAGAGCTCTCAGACACGTGGTGTGACTCTTGGGGTTGTCCTGTGCAGGGTCAGGAGTTTGATTTTGATGATCCTTGTGAGTCCCTTCCAACTCAGCATATTCTATGATTCTAATAAAAAGCCCTGAAACATATGCAGAAAATTTTATTTATTTTAGTGCATATTAAAGATTATAACTTGGGTTGGAAAAATCACCTAGTTGCACTCTCTTCCCCCACGTTGCCGGCCCCTGCAGTAGTCAGGGCTACTTTCCACCAGAGCAGGTTGTTCAAAGCACTATCCAGCCTGACCTTCAGCACTTGTAGGGATGGGGCATCCACAGGTTCTTTGGGTAACCTGTTCCATCATCTCACCACTCTCACAGTAAAGAATTTCTTCCTGATATCTAATCTAAACCTACCCTCTTCCAGTCTAAAGCCATTCTCCCTTTTCCTGTCACTCCATACCCTTATAAAAAGTCCCTCTCCTTCTTTCTTGTAGGCCCATTCAGATAGTGGAAGGATGTTGTAAGCTCTCCTTGGAGTCGTCTCCAGGCTGAACAACTCCTCTCTCCGCCTAGATAACATCTAAAAAAACCAAAAATGTTTCAGTGTGGCTGTTTTGAAACAAAATTATTTAGAACCTGAGAATTAATATTAATGTAGAACTTTATTTGTTTCAGTTAGTTCCCAGTCAGTAGTTAAATCTACAAAGTAGATTTAACGGTGAAGTTTTACTAATAATACAAATGTAAATATGATGTAAAACTATCTTTGCCTGAAAGTTATATATTCCCCACCTCGGGACCTCAGGCAAATAGGGTGTGGCATTAATTGATCAGTCCTTTTCCGTGAGCTTTAGGAAATAGCGAAATAACGAACGATGTGACTGCGCAGTGCTCTGACCCCAGCAATGCACTAGGTGGCAATGTTGGTTTTAGTTTTACTGCTGCCTCTTCTCGGGAACTTGTCTTAATTAGCTCCTTTCAAAAACAAACATGCTGTTTCAACAGAGGGTCAGTGTACATTGTTCTGGGCTGCTGCTTTTATATTTATAGTCATGTAATCAATATGTTGGAAGGGTAATTAATTTTTAACTTCAAGCCAATTGTAGATCAAATGCTACTGGAGTTACTGGGTGGAGACAGTTTAATTTCCTTTGAAGCAATGATACTGATTAGCTGTAAAGGGTTTTCAGTGAGTTGCTAGAGATCGAGAAGACCTTTTGCTTTGAAATACTGGTGTTAACTTTAAAGTAACACCATTACTGTGATACAGATTAATGAGTTGTGGCATAATTCTGATAAAGTTCCACTAATGTACTTACTATATTTTGTCAATTCCTATTTCAAAGCAGCTTTATCTGCTTTGACTATTCCATTCTTATCAAAGGAATGGTATAAAGTAAGCATTAAGTTGATCAAACTGACTCTACTTTTTATCCCTGTTGTCTCCTTATCTGTCTTTGGGGACTCTAGAGGCCCATGGCTAAGGATGAGATGTGACCATCTGCACTGCAGCGTATTGGAAGGATGGCATGAGAAGCTGGGGTATTTTTTGAAATCTCTCCAACCCATGCTTGTCAGACATGCTGGTGTCCTGGCCTCCTGTCCCTTTCTCCTATTGTCTAGGGCAGCTCTGTGTGTCTCTCAGGTTCCTTACTTGGAGATACTTGCTAGCTTTCAGTGCTCTTTCAGTGTTTTCAGCCCATCCCCTTGATATGTCCTTTTCCTCTGAACTAACCTTCCTTGATCATATTTTCATCTGTTCACCCTTTCATCTTCTTCTTTGTCTCTGTTCTTCAACATCTAAGCAAACTGGAATCTCAGCACTCAGCTCTCTATCCTTGTCTTACAACTTTAACACCTTCTTCTCCTTTTTGTAATCAATAAATGAGCCATTTTCATGGATAGGCTATTGACCCTTTCTCTGGCTGTTTGGATTCTTTCTGATCTTGTGTCTTTGCTTTCCATTACACAAAAATTTTACTACAGGCTGTGACTGTCCACTCTTGGGCAAGTCTCAGAGCCTCTCTGCTGTCCTCATCTCTGTTGAACTCTTGGCTGACTTTTGATACTTAGATCGTTTAATTGGATGTCATGCTGAGTAATACCATGAGCACTGGTTTAATCTGAAATTAAACTTTTGTTTAGTCTAACATTAGAAAAATAAGGTCAATTTCAAAACAAAAAATATTTCCGTTTCTCTTAAAAAAGGCAGCCTCTTGTATTTTTATGTTTAAACTATTAATTTAATTCAGTCTGGCCTGAGCAAATATTTCTGTC